TTCCTCTGCATTGTAAAAGTTTTTTCTTGCCTCTTTTATATGAGATAATGCACCCCATTCTACCTATCCCTTTCCTTTCTCCCAGTGCATTCCTCTTTTTCATGCTTTAATTTTATTTTTTTAGGTATTATCTTTTTATATTCAATTCACATCTGTATCCTCTGTCTATATATACTCCGTATAACTGCCCTAATAATGAGAAAGTTCTCATGAGTTACAAGTTAGCCAATCAATGAGAGCCAGAGTGATTTGTGTTTCAGGAATGGTCCTTAAGAAAGAAATCTAGCTCATAAACCATATCCTGTGAAGTTTAAGTGATCAAATATACATTCCTTTGGGCATGACTCTGGAGGAGAAAGTGAAGGCTAGTGACCGCACAGCTTTTCCTCACTTAAATCCAGTTCACTTGCATGCCATGGCATCACCTTCCTGATGTCACGGTCCTCTTCAAGAATGAAGGACAAACAGCAGCAGCAGCGGCAACAACTAGTTACAGGTATCATCTTCTCATGCGCGAATGTAAACAGTTTAACCTTATTAAGTCCTTTATGATTTCCCTTTCCTGTTTACCTTTTTATGCTTCTCTTGAGTCTTGTATTTGAAAGTCAAAATTTCTATTCAGCTCTGGTCTTCTCATCAAGAATTCCTTGAAGGATTATACTCGGTTTTGCTGGGTAGGTGATTCTTGGTTGTAATCATAGCTCCTTTGCCCTCTATATTGTCATATTCCAAGCCTTCTGATTATTTAGTGCAAAACCTGCTAAATCACTGTGTCTCCATGATACTTAAACTATTTCTTTCTGGCTACTTGCAGTATTTTCTCTTTGACTTGGGAGCTCTGGAATTTGGCTATAATATTCCTGGAAGTTTTCATTTTTTCAAACCTTTTTTTTCCTCATTCCTTAAAACTTCCACAATTATTCTTCTTCCTACCTTCTCAGCTGAAAACCCTGCCTTGTATTTCACTGAAAATAAAAAACATTGTGGTCTTTTTCTTCCATTCCTCATCCCACATCACTCAAATGTCTTCTACCATTATATCCTTCATGCCTTTTTCAAATGGAAAGACTTCTCTTCTCCTTGCCAAGACAATCCTCTATATAAGGAAATGATCACATTCCATCTTATATCCTATTGCAAATTGACCCTCTTTTCTTCCTATTCTCTAATTAATCTTCAGTCTCTCCCCATCTACTGAGTGCTTCCCTATTTTTCACAAATATGCCCATATCTCTTTCATCCTCACTTGATTCATCCATCCCCATTAATTATCATCCTATATATCTTCTTCTTTTTTTGGTCTAAACTCCTTGAAAATGTTGTCTACAATTGATGTTTCTACTCCTTTTCCTCCATTCTCTTCCTAAACTATTTTAGTCTGGCTTTCAGTATCAGCATTCAACAAAAATATTCTGTCCAATGTTACTAATGATTTCTTATTTTCCAAATCTCATCACCTTTTTTCAGTCCTCATCTTTCTTGACCTCTTAGTAGCTTTTGACACTGTCAATCTCCCTTTTTTTCCTTGATAATAAGTTTTCTCAAGGTTTTCATGACATTGCTCTCTTTTTAGTTCTAAGTGCTCTTTCTCTGTCTCCTTTGCTCACCCTTCCTTCATCCAAGTCACCCATGATAACCATGAATGTCACCCAAGGCTCTATCCTGGGCCCTCTTCTTGTATTCCTCTATACTATTTTACTTGGTGATCTTATCAACTCCCGTGATTCCAATGATCATAGTTATGTAGATGACTCTAAGATCTACTTGTCTAGCCCTAATGTCTTCCCATCTCCATTCTCACCTTTCTAAATGTCTATTAATTTTCAGTCATTTCAGTCATGTCTGACTCTTTATGACCCTATTTGGGTTTTTCTTGGCAGAAGGTCAAAGTAGTTTGCCATTTCCTTCTTCAGCTTATTTTGCAGATGAGGAACTGAGACAAATAGGGTTAAGTGACTTGCTTGGGGTCACATAGCTAGTAAATGTCTGAGGCCAAATTTGGACTCAGGAAAATGAGTCTGCCCAACTCCAGGCCTGGCCCTCTATCCACAGCACCATCTAGCTGTACCTAAATGCCTTTTAGATATCTTAAACTGGATGTCCCCAAGACATATTAAAATCAACATGTCCCAAACTGAACTCATTATATTTTGCTCCAAACTTTTCCCTCTTCTTAGCTTCCCTATTGCTCTTTTTAATTAATTTAATTTAAATTTATCTTCAGTTGCAAGTTGTATCCCTTTTTCAGCTATTGATAATGCAAGAAATACAAAACTCATTACACATATGAAGCATTGCAAAACAAATTTCAACATTAGTCAAGTTCTGAAAAAAAAGCAAGAAAAAAAGAGAAAAAAATATGCTTCAGTCTGCATATTGAGTTTATCAGGTCACTAACTCAAGGCGGATAGCATTTTTCATTATGTATCTTTTGGAATTGCGGTGGATCATCATTGTGTTGATTAGAGTTACAAAGTCAATCAAGGAATCATTCAATCAACATTTATTAAACACCTAATATATGCCAGGCACTGTGCTGTGGATACAAAAAGAGGCAAAAGACAACCCCTGCCATCAAGGTGCTTACAATCTAATGTGAGAAACAACATGCAAACAAACATATACAAAGAAAATAATGTGTACAGGATGGATAGGAAATAATTAACGGAGAAAAATGACTGGAGTTAAGAGGGACTGAGGAAAGTTTTTTGTAGCAGGTATGATTTTAGGTATGATTTAAAGAAAGCCAGGTAGGTCAGTAGTCAGAGTAGCTGTTAGGCAATCCTACTATAGCTCTCTTATCAACTCACTATCCCATTCTCCATAGTGGCTCTTCCAAAGCTTTTTATCCCTCCTCAAAACTTCCAAGTCTCTTTCTGTCCCCTGCTATCTTAACTGAGGACTTGGCCTCATATTTTACTGAAAAAAAGATTGAGGCCATTCATGATGAACTTCCTCTTTCCCCCTCTTCCTTATCTCTTGTCACTCAGGTGCCTTCTGCCAATGTCTCCTCCTTTACCCCTGTCTCACATGATGAAGTGGCCTTATTCCTTACCAACGCTAACCCCTCTATTTTATCAAGTGATCCCATTACATCCTATCTCTTCCAATACATTATGGTCACTGTCATCTCCACTCTTTCACTTATTTTCAGTCTCTCCCTTTCTACTGGCTCATTTCCTACTGCTTATCTCTCCCCTATCATTCATTGATTCATTCGATAAATATTTATTAAGTACCTAATTTGTGCCAGGTGCTGTGCTAAATGTTGGAAATACAAAAAGAGGCAAAAGACAACCCCTGTCCTCAAGGATCTTACAGTCTAGAGGAGGACTCAACATGCAGATATAAAGCAAGCAATGGAAAGGATAAATAGGAAATGATAAAAAGAGGGAAAGCATTAGAATTAAGAAGGATTGAAGGAGGCTCCCTGTAGAAGGTGGGATTTTAGATGGGATTTAAAGGAAGCCAATGAGATCAATAGTTGGAAGAAGAGCATTCCAGGCATGAGAGACAGCCAGAGAAAATTCCTAGAGCTGAGAGATGGTATGTCTTCCTTGTGGAACAACCAGAAGGCCAGTGACTAGGTAAAATAGTATGTATTGGGGAGTAAGATGTTAGAAGACTGGAAAGGTGAGAGGAGGCTAGGTTATAAAGGATTTTGAATGCCAAGTAGAGCATTTTATATTTGCTCCTGGAGATAATCAGGAACCAGTGGAGATTATTGAATATGGGAGTGACATTTTTGGACCTGCATTTTAGGTAAACCACTCTAATGGTTGAAGGGAAAATGGATTGGAATGAGGAGAGACTTGAGGGAATGCAGACCCACCAGAAGGATATTGCAGTAATCAACACATGAGGTGATGAGGGCCTGCACAAGAGTGGTGGCTGTCTCAGAGAAGAGAAGGGTGGGTGGGGGTGGGGGTGGGGGTGTTATTTGATAGATGTTGCAGAGATGAAATTTACAGGCCTTGGCAATAATTTGGGTATGTGGGTGTGTGAAAGATAGTGAGGAATCCATGATGACCCCTAGTTTGCAAACCTGAGGGACTATGGGATGATGATGTTGCCCTCTACAATACTAGAGAAATTACTCCCCAACTCTGGATCAAAATCCAGTGATAATGACCTCCTGGTTATTTCATGAACAAGTCTATCTTTTGACTCTGGGCATTTTTTTGGACTGTCCCCCATGACTGGAATACTCTTCCTTCTTTGCTCTGATCATTGACTTCTCTGGCTTTAACTCCCATCTAAAATCATACCTGCTACAGAAAACCTTCCTGAATCCCTCTTAATTTCAGTAACTGTCTTTTGCCTCTTTTTTTGTATCCATAGCACTGCTTAGCACAGTGCCTGGAATATATGAGGTGCTTAATAAATGCTGACTGAACGATTGCTTGATTGAATTTGTAGCTCTAATCAACGCAATGATGACCCCCCACAAATCCAAAGGACACATAATGAAAAATGCTATCCACTTCCAGTTAGTGAACTGCAGTATTCCTAGTGTGTAACACAGTGCCTGGCCACATAGCAGGCACTTAAGAAATACTGATTTACTGATCACCTCTAGACAATAACTCATATTTGGATATTATTTTGTGGTTAACAAGACACTTTCATCACAACCCAGAGAGGTGAATGATGATATTGTTACTATACTGATTTAATAGATATGGAAACTGAGACTCTGAGAGGTGATTTGATTTTCCCATGATCATATAACTAGTTAGAATGGGAATCAGAACTTTTATTCTTTTCTTCTTACTCAGAACTCAGGGGTCTTTCTAATATACCATGTTTCATTCATATGAAAAAGTGTTACCATTTAATACAATTAAATTGGAATCTTTTGAAATTCTTTTTTGAAGTTCATTTCTATAGTCATATGTATTTTCCTCTCATTTATTACAACTTTTTTTCTGAAAGATTCAAACATTTCAAATACTGTTATTAATGTTACTCTTTTTATAAATTCCATTGTTTTTACTTACGCAGGGCAGTAATGGCAAACAAAAAAGTACTTGTAAGAAGCGTTAGGACATTCAGCAAGTCCACATCCAATTTTATGAGATGAATACCACATCACCTAGAATGTAAAAAGCAAATTGCATAAGAATATTTTTAAAATATTAACTCTCCTATGCTTCCAATATTGCAAGAATCCATAATTTCTTCCTTTTTTCTTTTTATTTTCCTGTGGGGAGAGGTAGATTGGAGTGGGGGCAATGGCTTCCCCTGATGTAAATAAATACTTTTTCCTTACCTGCACAGATTGCTTCATCTGTGTAAAGGGACCAAAAAAAAAAATCCACCACCATCAACTGGAGATTGTCCTTCTGGTGGTTCTTTCTACACATAGTAAAGGTAGTCCCCAGACAACAGACAACATTGTCATAGGGCCTGAATTAGAAATCTCTGCCACTTGGGTAAGTCTTAGGCAAGCTTTTCCTTCCTACCATAGTCTACAAGGACCTATGCTCATTTATACTCTATGATGAGTCATCAAAAAAGAATTTTAGGGAGCATGGCAAACAATCATGCTAAGAACTTCTTCAACCTTGTAAAATGGTAAAAAAAAATATATATATATAGCTTGATCTCCAGCCATAGAAGAGCTCAAAAATGATTTGCAAATCAAGTAAGAGAGACAGAGAAAAAATTGGGAAGAGAAATGAGTGATGCTAGATAATCATGAAAAACATGAAAAACAGCTTGGTAAATATGGAAGAAAATAAGACCTTAAAAAGATTAGGCCAAATGGTAAAAGAGGTCCAAAAAGCCAATGAGAAGAAGAATGCTTTAAAAACAGAATTGGCCAAATAGAAAAGGAGGTCCAAAAGCTCACTGAAGAAAATAATTGTTTAAAAATTAGAATGGAGCACATGGAAGCCAATGACTTTATGAGAAATCAAGAAATAATAGAACAAAACCAAAGAGTGAAAAAAAAATAGAAGACAAGGGGAAAAATCTCATTGGAAAAACAACTGACCTGGAAAATAGATCCAGGAGAATTAATTTAAAAAATATTGGACTACCTGAAAGCCATGATCAAAATAAGAGCCTAGATATCCTCTTTCAAGAAATTATCAAGGAAAACTGCTCTGATGTTCTAGAACCAGAGGATAAAATCATCACTGAAAGAATCAACCAATCACCTCCTGAAAGAGATCCCAAAATGAAAACTCCCAAAAATCTTATAGCTAAATTCCAGAGCTCCCAGGTCAAGGAGAAAATATTTGAAGCAGCCAGAAGGAAACAATTTAAGTATCATGGAGCCACATCAGGATAACACAAGATTTAGCAGCTTCTACATTAAAGGGTCAGAGAGCTTGGAATATGATACTCCAGAGGGCAAAGGAGCTAGGATTACAACCAAAAACCATCTACTCAGAAAAGCTGAGTATAATCCATGAGGGGAAAAATGAATATTCAATGAGATAGAGGAATTTCAAACATTCTTTTTTGTATGTTTGTTTTTTTGTTTTTAGGCAACTGGGGTTAAGTGACTTGCCCAGGGTCATACACCTAGTAAGTGTCAAGTATTTGGTCTGGGGCCGGATTTGAACTCAGGTCCTCCTGAATTCTGGGCCGGTGCTCTATCTACTGTGCCACCTAACTGCCCCCCAAACATTCTTGAGAAAAGACCAGAGCTGAATAGAAAATTTGACTTTCAAATACAAGACTCAAGAGAAGCACAAAAAAGTAAACAGGAAAGAAAAATCATGAGAGACTTATTAAAGTTAAACTGTTTATATTCCTATATGGGAAGATGGTATTTGTAACTCATAAGACCTTTCTCATTATTAAAGTAGTTAGAAGGAGTATGTAGATAGAGGGCACAGGTAGAAGTTGAATATGAAATGATGATATCTAAAAAATAAAATTAAAGGGTAAGAGAGGAATGTACTGAGAGAAATAGAAAGGGAGAGGTAGAATCAGGTAAATTATCTCACATAAAAGAGGCAAGAAAAAGCTTTCATACTGGAGGTGAAGATGGGGGAGGTGAGGGTGAGTGAGTGAACATTACTCTCATCAGAATTGGCTCAAAGAGGGAATAACATACACAATCATTTGGGTATAGAAAGCTATCTTACCCTGCAGGAAAATAAAACAAAGTCAAAATTTTGAAAAAAAAATAAAAGAAAATGTGAAATATCTCCTAGGAATAGACAAATGACCCAGAACTATATTAAGGAAAGAAAATTTAAGAATTATTTGACTACCTGAAAGCCTTGATTTTTTAAAATGTCTAAACATAATAATTCTAGAAATTATAAAGGGTGCTCCCCAGATGTCTTAGAACTAGAGGGCAAACTAGAAATTGGAAGAATTCATCAATTATTTCTCAAAGAAAACCATAAGATGAAAATCCCCAGAAATAGTATAACCAAAATTCAGATCTCCCCATTCCAGCACAACATATTTCAAGCAGCCAGAGAGAAATCATTCAAATGCTGTGGAGCCATAATCAGAATTGCACAAAATTTAGTAGCTACCATGATAAAAGAGTGGAGGGCATGGAATATGATATTCCAGAAAGCAAAGTACCTAAGATTACAACCAAAACTAATCTATCCAGCAAAACTGAAAATAATCTTCCCAGGGGGAGAGCATTTAATGAAATAGAGGATTTTCAAGCATCCTTGATGAAAAGACCAAAGCTGACATTCAAACACAACATTCAAGAGAAACATAAAAACCATGAATGTGAGTGAGAAATCAAAAGCAACTTCACAAGATTAAACTATTTATATTCCTATATAGGAAGACAGTACATATAACCTCTAAGAACTTTATCATTATTATGACAGAAAGAAAGGATCTACTTAGAGGGCACATGTGTGAGCAAATTATGTTGGGCTGATCTCAAAAAAAGAAGAGGAGAGTGATAAGAGTGATGCCCTGGGAGAAGAAAAAAAAAGGAAATTTATTTCACATAAAAGAGGGGCAAAAGAAGAGTTTATACAACAGAGGGAAATTGGGATGGGGAGAAGGCAACACTTGAACCTCACTATCATCTGAACTGGTCCAAAGAGGAGTGGTGGTAATTCAATTTACTTGACAAAGAAATAGGAGGAGAAGGGGAAGGGGATTATAAGAGGGAGCGTAGATTAAGGGAGGCAGTTACTTGATGAAAACAGACTTTTGAGGAGGGGAGATGGCAAGAAAAAAAGAGAAAGATGAATAGAAGACAATAGGATTCCATATATGGTTAGCAATCATAACCATGAATGTGACTAGGATGAACTTACCCATAAAAAAGAAAGCGGATAGCATAATGGATTAAAGAACAGAATCCAATGTGTTGTTTACAAGAGATACACTTGCATGTGTAAGACACATACAGAGTTAAAGTAAGGTGCTAAAGCAGAATCTATTATCCTTCGGCTAAAGTAAAAAAAAAAAGGTAGGAGTAGCAATCATGACTTCAAACAAAGCAAAAGCAAAAATGGACCTTATTTAAAGAGATAATTAGGGAAACTATATTTTTGAACCAAATTGCAATATAAATGCTTAGATAAAAATTAATGGAGTTAGAAAGCAGATAACCAATGGTTGGCACCCAAAAACGACTATTTTAACAGAAAACAGGTTAGTTCAATAAAAAAACCTTTGAAGCATAGATTAAAAATTAATTGAAAACCAAATAATCCTAAAGAATGAGTCAAGGAAAAAATCGTAGAAATAATCAATAATTTCTTTTTTAAATTTCCTATTTTTTATTTAGTATTTTATTTTTCCCCAGTTACATGTAAAAAGAATTTTTAACATTCATTTTTAAAACTTTGAATTCTAAATTCTCTCCCTTCCTCTCCCCCGCCCCCCAATTGAGAAGGCAAGCAATTCAATATAAGCTATACAGATGTAACCTTGCTGTTCCTACCCATGTCACCAAAGAAGCTTTTTTTTTGGGTCAGGTTCTGCTTTTGGTTTCCATTTTTCCAGCCTATTTCTTGACTTTGGCCTTTGTTTGGATATTATTCTTATTTGGACTTGACTTTAGGACCAGAGTTGAGCTCTACTCACCTCTCAGGGTGGGGGGATATTTGGCCTGAGATCCTTTTATATCCTTTTGCTGCTTTCACAATTCACTAAGAAGTTGTAAGCTTTCAGTGCTTCCGATGTGGTATAATCCTGGGAGAAGTCTACTTATAGCCCTTCTGATCTGTACTGTAGTCTTTAACTAAGTAGGGCCTAGTTCACTCACAACCATGTCCATTCCTCTTCCTGCCCTGGAACTGCCAATTATAAAGCAGTTATGAGTAACAGAGCTGCCAGATTGCATTTGTTTCTGCTTTCATTGCTGGTACAAGGTTTCCCTGAGATCTAACCAAGTGTTCAGTCACCTTACAGTAGTCCCTGTGTATCGGTCTGCTCCTTGCTGCTGTCACTGCCACCACAACCATGTTGCCACCACTATTAGTGCTGCTTTTACCTCACACTACACTCCTAGGCAGCCCCTACCTCAATATCTGTGTATTCCTCTTTCTGTTTTCCTAAACTTCCCTTACCTGGAATAATGACTCACTGTGACTTTAAATTGACTTTCCTGCACAGAATTTGGTTTGATGCATTTTTTAGGTATTTTTGTTTTTTTGAAAGGGTATTTTGGGAGAATTGGCAAAATGCTGATTTCACTCTGCCATCTTAACTCCATCCTCTGTCTCACTTTTTTTTTTTTTTTTGGCGAGGCAATTGGGGTTGACTTGCCCAGGGTCACACAGCTAGTAAGTGTCAAGTCTCTGGTCTGAGACTGGATTTGAACTCAGGTCCTCCTGACTTCAGGGCCAGAGCTCTGTCCACTGTGCCACCTAGTTGCCCCTGTGTCTCACTTTTTTAAGGGCCGTTAGGAAAATAAGCATTTTTTTCATTTTGGTCCTGAAGTTGGTTAATTCTGGTTCTATTAATTTTTATCTGAGAATTTCTTCACACCTTGTTAAAAGATTTAAAAAAAGTAAAACTGTTTTTAGGTTTCATTTGAGACTTTAACATTTCATTTTCTTTCTTACCTTACCCTTTATGTAATTTAATCAACTGATCTGGACAAAACTGATTAATTAGAATTTTTCTTCCCAATAATGCATGCTATAATCATGCAGGAGAATTATGGATGATCATAAGTGGTTTTGCCTCACAAAGGGTGGAAAAATAGTGGAGAGGAGAAAGAACCTAAAAAAACCAAACTTGGTATGAGACCCAACTAGGCCACACTATTCTACCATCATCTGTAGATCAATTTAAAAGCATGTGAAATGGAACAGAAATCTCAAAGAACTGTTCTCAATGTCGCTGACACAGATATTTAAACTTTACTATCTTAGTATATATTGTGCTGAGTAAGTGGAAATAGCACTTAAAAAGTCGAAGTTCTGAGGGTTGTCCTTATACCTGTCCTAATTCTCAACTGGCCTCTTGTCATTTCAACTCTCCTTGCTCTCCTATTTCACTACCATCAGTCACCCTTTCCTCCCATTGCAAATTGATCAGTTCAACTGTACACTCTTTTCTTTAAACTCTTGCCCCCCTGCCCTACTATGAAACCCCAATTCTCGTTCTCTGTCCCATCCCCTCTCCTACAGGACTTCCCAAACAGCTTTTCTGTGTATACTTGAAGCCTGTTAAATGTCACTGAAAAGTCACACTGACTGAATCCATAAAAATAACAACAACAACAACAACAACAACAACAACATCATTGCTATTCAATTTCATCTGGTTCTCTATTGCTTCTAGGTGCTCCTCCCAGTTTTCCATGATTGACTCTCACATTCCCCAGAGTAACTATTCTAAACCATCTCTTCAGTATTTAAGCCTTCTGCATCACTCCTTGCCTCTAGTCAGATCTTGACTCTTATATGAACAAAGCAGAGGCCATTCAATGCTAATCCCCACTCCCCCCAATACACAGACCACAACTCAGACAATTCACTGAACGCTTCCCTGATTTTTTCATTGTTTACTCCATCTCTTCCAAAAAAAAAAAAAGGTTTCTCCTCCTTTCCAAGGTATTTTTTGTCCCATCTTCTCCCATATCTTCAGGTATTTTGCCACTTCAATCATTTCCTCAATTTGCACCTCTTTCAACTAGCTCTTTACCTTATTCACATAAAAATGTTCAGTGTTTCTTCCATCCCTAAGGAATCTTCCTTTGATAAATCCAGTCCCCTCAAGCTATTATTCCAACTCTGTCCCCCCTCTTATAACCAAACTTAAAAAAAGAAACCTACATTTACTGCTGTCACCTAGTCATCTTCCACTCAATCTGGTATTCCTCAAAATCAAATACTCAATCAAAATTGCTCTCTGCACAGTTAATAGTGAATCTTTTAAAAAATGCTTTATTTGTACTTTTTCCATGACCTTTATTTCCAAATAAATCCTCTTCTCCTACTCAGCAATTGTCATATATGTCATACATATAATCTATCCATCTGTATATACATACATGTAATAGTTAACAAAACCTAAGAGTTCAACTGAAACTGGAAGTATATACAATTTTTCCATATCCATAGTTTACTACCTCTCCAAAGACGGGAGGCCCTATATTTTTTAATGAATGAAACAATTTCAAGTGTTAAAAATAAGGAATTAAATTGTATAATCTCAGTAAAACAATTAGAGGGGGAAGATCATCAGATCTTGTATTTTAAAATGAGGTTAACAAACCTTACATTAATAAGGCTTACAAAAATATATAAAGCTTATATTATTCTCATTATGAAGAATGACTGCGATAATTTAAAAAATTATGCAAAAAATAAAGAAAATCAATAAATTTGATTAGGTTAAGAGATCCATACCTGGAAGTAATCTTAAAACTCATCTAGTTCAATCCCTTCATTTTTATAAGTGAGGAAACCAAGGCCCAGAGACATTAATGAAATAGAAAGTAAGTAGGTAGAGTCAAAATTCAAACTTTAGTCTTTAGGATTTGTTTTACTGTACCATTGTAGCCTACCGAAAATAATCAATCTTCCAAATTATTTCTGTTTCTTACCTGAGTATAATGGCCAACCGGTTTCGTAGAAGTTGATCCTTTTCCAAAAACAAAATATTCAACCTCATCATACCAAGCTTGGATAGCTTTTGACCATGGGACAAGGGCAGTTGACATGAAGAGATTTTCACCACATATGCTCCCTAAGAAGAAAATGAACCATTTATGATGGGAGAATAATATTTGTAACCACAGCTTAAATAGTCTCTCCCACAAATATAGATCCTTTTCCTATATCTTTGAAGCATTAAAATCTTGAGAGACTGAAATTTTAATTGTTATTCTGGAGAGATGATTTCTTTTTTAAGTTGTAAGGCTAAAGAGAAGAATAGAAATAAATAGGATGAGGAGAACTGATATTTTGAGAGAAATGTTTCACTATTATAATGATGAGAAAAATGAAAATTTTGGGAACAAGATTGTGATTGGTATCTTGAGAAAACTGAAAAGTGGGATTCTGGTGGTTTTCTGAGCTGGTGTCTACTGGTTTCCCTGCCTATATTGAAGCTCTCAGGGGTCCTGGTGTTGGCACTTGCCTGCTCCACCAAGCCGGGTCTCAGGATCTTCCCCTGGTATGCTGAGGTGGGGCTTGCCACTGGCCTACTGGGACACCTCCAGTTCTGTACTGCTACCCCTCCCCCAGAGGAAGAGGGGCCTTTCCTATTAATCCCCCAAGCTTCCTGAGCTACAAGACTGCTGTGCCCTGTCTTTTTGCTGGTTCAGGGTTTTTCCTGGGTCCGTATTTTCTAGGCTTTCAGAGGTCAATGAGGGAGGGTGAGAGCAACTTACTGTTTACTCTGCCATCTTGGCTCCAAAAAGTGGAACTGTGTTGTCTGAAAACAGCAATTTTAATGATGGATAGAAATGACTAGGGCTATGATTTTTCTCACAATGAATGCTTTGTAAATTTTTTTTAATATACTGCTGAAAGTATAGTCAATATCATTGAAGTTTATTCAAACCTAAGAGACTGGATGTTGGAGTGGCTTTGCTATACACTCTCTCTTTATATATATATATACACCCACACACACACACACCCACACACACATATATATATATACCATATATACTGTATATATGATATATACATATATTACATACACTGCATTTGTATTATATGTTAATTTTTATGAGACAACTTCTCTTAGTTCCCAAATAAAATCTCATCTTCTACAGGAAGTTTTCCCCAACCCCTCTTACTTCCAGTGCCTTCCCTCTGTTAATTATTTTCTATTTGTCCTGTATATAGCTGGCTTTGTATATATTTGTTTGCACATTTTCTCTCCCATCAGATTTTAAGTTCATTGATGGCAAGACTGTCTTTCACTTTTTTTTGTATCCCCAGGACTTAGCACAGTGCCTGGCACATAGTAGGCACTTAATTAATGTTTATTGATTGATCGATATCTATATTTTTTATATTTAGATCTATCCTAAGATCTAAATGTTTGGATCTTTTTAAATCTAGGTCTGTAGCTAAATATAGATGGATCTACATGTCCAAATATATATGCATATATCTATCTATAACTATATATACATATCCATATATATTATATATATAATAACTATATATCTCTATCTCTATAGCTATGAAGAAAGAGAATGTGAGAGATCAAGAGGGATAGACAGAGAAGATAAGTAAAAACTTTTGAGAAAAAAGTTTCTCTAATTTATTAAATAATTAATATAATTAATATTTATATTAATAATATAATTTGAGGTTGGCTTTCAGAGCTAGTAGTTAGATGATATACTTTTAGTAATTAATGTGGAAATTTGATCATACTCCTTTGAATACCTTAGAACCTGAGATGAAAATGAGTAAGAAAAATGGGTATTCGGTAAAAAAAAATAAATGTAGGATGATCATTTAACGTTGTCTACATGTAATTACTATTGCCCTTAACACTTGCTACCCACGTATCTTCAAATTCAAAGGGATCAAACGCAGAAGCAAAAGAATATAGTAGCAAAGTACTCAAACAATCTAAGTCACCAAATATAAGGTTAAAGTCTCCTTATTAGACAAAAACTGCTGGGATAACAGGAAAGCAGTCTGGAAGAAATTCAGTTTAGACCTTTATATCATGTGATAAGCAAAAATAACCACAAACTGGACATACGACTTAATAGAAAAGACAATTCAAAAAACACAGTAGAGGAGAAGTGAAGAAGATAATTCTCACAATTGTTGATAAGGGAAGAATGGTTGACCAAACATTGGATGAAAATGATCCCAGAAAATTAAAGGGATAATTTTTCTTGTATAAAATTGAACATGTTTTCACACAAAAAAAATGCTGTTATAATTAGAAGGGTTATATAGTTCACTGTTAAAGAAAAACACAGCAAATTTACAGCCAAAAAAAGAAATTTGCCACAATTTTTTTAAATAAAATTCTGATATACAAGATATATCAGGACCTAATACATATATAAAGCAACAAAAGCTTTTCTCCCAGAGGTAAATGGCCAAATATATATGAATGAACAGTTTTCAAAAGAAATATAAGCTATCAAAAACCATGGGGAAAATGTCTCAAATGATCAATAATAAGACCAATGCATTTAAAGAATGATATTCAGATTCCTACTCACCAGATTGTTGAAGATAACAAAAAAAATCAAAAGGGAAAATTACAATTGTTAGACGTGATGTGAGAAGAAACATATACTATTGTATTCTTTTTGGTGTTGTGACCTGGTCTAACTATTCTGGAAAGCAATTTGTAACTATATCTAAGAAGCCTCTGAAACTGTCTATAACTTCGAATCCCATACTACCACTGTACCTCAAAGAAGTCAAAGAGATAAGGAAAGGACCTATATATTCCCATATTTATAACCACATTTTTTGTAGCAAAGAATTGTAAATCAGGCCTGTCAACTGAGGATTGATTGAGCAAAGTGTAATGCCTAGTAAAGTTATTGATGTGTAAAAAATGTGACAAGGAAGGAAAAAATTTGAAGATATTTGGCGATTTACTTAAGGCAACAAATAAAAAGTAGATATAGCAGTGATGTAAATTATGTAGGTTCTCTGATTTCAAATTTAATGTTCTTTCTATTGCCTTGCATTGCTTCCCTTTTAATATTCACGTATTATTTTTATTTGATTATAACGTCCCTTAGAGCAATACCAGAATTTCTGCTAGCTCACAGAACACCTTGCCTATGATGCATACTCAAATTCTGCTCGATGATTGTTTATGACACTGGAGATTCTGGAGCCACTTTTCAGTGGCTAGACCATATGTATGCATGAGAAGGATTACTCTGGCAGCAAATGAAAGACATTGATGAGATTTGAGGGAGAGGATAGAAGAAGGCATTCCTGTTAGTAGACTACTGAGATAATTCCCTAGGCAGCAATGAAATCCCATTACTGAGATAGTGTCTTTCACAATTAAGAGGGAAGGACAGATGAATTTGATGTTGTGGGAGTTCAAAGCAGTAGGACTTTGTAAATATTTGGATCTAAGATGTGAATAGTGAGAAAAGCTAACATAACATAAAGTTATGAATGTAAGGGATAAAGATGAATGATAGAGTCAGAAAAAATGAAGTCATCAGAATATTCACTGTGAATGAATGACAGTATCAAAGAGATGGAAAAATGGGAGGCTGGGATCTGGGAATGGGACATGCAAGTTCCAATTGTTGGCAGTGGAATGAGGCAAGCTAAAGTCTAATGTGCAGTTATATTCATATTTAGCTGAACTGAAGTTAAGATAGAGTTTCTTGGGTTTGACATGGTTAGGGTATTGAGATATAACTTCAACTTCAAAAATCTGTGACTTTGTAGAGAAGATTATTATTTCCACTAGCCTAGCTCATAATACTCTCCCAGTCCAATGATTTATGAGACCATCCTTGAGTTACTGTGGCCAAAAAGGAAAACAAAATCCACCTTTCAGTCACCCTGGTTAAGACCTTCTCTGAGCATAGCTGGACACAAAACAGAAAAGTGGTCATTTGTATAACCTTCTTATACTTTGCTGCTCTGGATATACTCTATATTCTAGTTCCACTAGCCTACTTTTGTTCCTCTCACACTACTAGGCATTTCTTGACTCCATGCCTTTACATTGACTGTCTCTGATGCCTAGAGTGCTCTCCCTCCTCTTCTTTACCTTTTAGCTTTCCCAGCTTTTGTCAACTCAACTTATATCTGCCGTTCTGCAGCAGGACTGCAGTTCCTCTAGAGTAGATTATCTTTTAAGTTACATCTTCTGAATATTAAAATTCTTGAGGATGATGGTCATGATGTGGGGCAAATTGGAAACTGAGTCTGCTCCTAAATTCACTCAGAAAGTTTGCTACTAATTAATTGATTGTCTTAGATGATTTTTTTTTGCCTCCTCATTCATTCTGCTGTTCATTAACACAATATGCTAATGAGGCATTCAAGTTAAATATGATTGCTGAACTTTATACATTGGAACAAATCACAAAGAAAATTCTTGAGGGATAAAGTAGGAAAAAGGAAAAGACACATAATTTATATTAATCAGTTTAACAACTAATTAAAATAATTGACAAGAGTTATCACAAGATAGGAAGCCAAAATGAGTATTATTGATATCAATTTAATTAAACTATCCTTGTTATTCTATTATTTTTTTTCTATTGTAGTAAATGTTATTCAGTGTTAAGCCATTATATTTTTGGCACTTAAAATGTAATAAAGAATAACAGTGGTTTCAGACATTGAACTTTTCTTCAATGGCAAGAGATCAATTCACTTATTTTTAAACTACTTTTGTAATTACTTGTATAATTTCTGAATAGATGTTGTTTCATGGATAATTGTTTTATCTTCACATATAGACTGTCAGTTCCTTAAGGCTAAAAGCCATGTCATTTACTTTGTATATTTCCCATAGTACCTAGCACAGTGTTGGGCACAAATACTTGTGGGTTGGTTAATTAGTATTTTAGAAAGAGAGGGGTAGGGATTAGACTGTGATTTCTTTACGATAAGAATATAGGAATAACAACTGATACCAGCACCTTCATTGCAAATTGTATTTTCTTCACTATTTGTTTGGAGAAGTGAGGGATATACTTATCAGGGTCACACAATAAAGTCAGTATGTTTCAGAGGCAAGACAGGAAGCTAGGTGTTTCTGATTCTGAGGCCAGCTTTCTACTCACCATTCCACACTGCCTCTGTTTGAGACAAAATAATTATTTTAAAAATCATGAACATCTAAAAATATGCCTTTCCAGAGCACACTATGCTTAGAGCATGACTGAATTGGAAAGGAAAGGAAAGAGACAAAAAGGACAAAGTTAGAGAAAAGTGTCTCACATAATCAAGGCATGCAAGTAGAGACATGTACAAACAAAGAAGAGGGGTTGAGGAGAGTGGCTGACACTTGAACCTTACTCTAATCTGAACTGATGAAAGGAGGGAAATAAACACATAAATTTGAGAAAAAAATGCATTTTTTCTCCATAGGAATATAGGAAGGAAAGAAAAGGGATAAAAGGGAATTATGGGGAAGGTAGCTTAAGGTAGAGAATAGTCCTAAGGAAAACAAATCCTAAAGATGCATGAAAATATTTATAGCTCTTTCTGAGGTGGTAAATTGTGGAAATGTGAGGGGATGCCCTCCAGCTAGAGAATGGCTTACCAAATTATGGTATATAAATGTAATGCAATATTATTGTGGTATAAGAAAGATGAAGGGGATGTTTTCAAAGAAACCTGGGAAGACTTATATGATGCAAAATGAAGTGAACAGAAGCAGGAGAATGATTTATTTTATATATAGTAAAGACAAACAAATTTGAAAGAAATAAAAATTCTAACCAATGTAATGATCAACAATTTCAGAGGAATAACGATGAAATATGCTACCAACTTATAGAAAGTTGAATGACTCAGAGCATAGAATGAGAATATGTGTGTATGTATGTATGTATGTTTGTATATGTATACACACATATATATGCACATATATACATATATAGTCAATTTGTTTTGCCTGATTACTTTTTTTAACAAATGGTTGGTTTTGTTTTATTTTGTTTTCCTTCTCAAGGGGGGGTAGAAAAGTTAGATTTTTACTGATTGCATATATATAATATGATATGATATAATATAATAACATAACATATCTCTATCCATATATGTTCACACACATAGACACACACATATACATATGCATGCATGTGTGTGTGTGTGTGTGTGTGTGTGTGTGTGTGTTTTAAAGCTATAGACCTTGGAGAAGTCCAAATCCACCTATTTTTAGAATTGAGGAAACTGAGAACAAAGAAGTTAAGTAACTTGATTAAGGACACACAGAAGGTAACTGGTTAAAGTAGGTTCAAAGCTAGGTCCTCTGATGGAGGACCTAGCAAACCCAGAGTAACACAGTATATGAGACTAAGTTGATATTATGATCTGCAGGGAAGAGGCTGCCACAGCAGTGAGGACACAGATGTTTCAAAGCGTCACAGCATAATAAGTTCAGTCACCAAGTCATAAATTTCCCCTTTATAGAAAGTGTTTTTTTTTTTTTTTACTTACCAATTGTTCTGCTATGTACATCACTGTGTCTTAATGTACATTTATTTGCCCAGTCCTGGGCTGATTTTTGTGCTTCTTCACTCCATTTCTTAAAGAAAAAGAAAAAAAATATATATATATATATATAATCTCAACTGAAAACTTAAGTCCAAATTTTGATTCAATTCACTTAAAATATTTATAATTACCTGTTATAGTGAGAGAATTGTTTTAATTCAAGTATCATGTAAGGACACAAAAAATTAGGTTAGGTACTATATCTGCCCTCATGGAGATTATTATAGTTTACTGGAAGGAAAAGATGTGAAAAAGGCATGCTAATAATACATTGTGTGTTCAACAATAATAATAATGACATGATGATAATATATAATTTGTATGACATTTTACTATTTACAAGCAACTATCTTCATAATAATCTCATGAGTCAAAAAGTATAAATTTTATTTTTTCTTTAAAAATATTTCTGAGAGGTTAATAGAATTTTTAAGTCTACACAGCTAGAAAATGTTAGAACCAAGATTCAAGCTCACTTCTCTTAAAAAAATACAGGTATGTTATAATTATAGAATAAAAAGGCAATGCAGCACAGGAAAACTAGACTTGGAATAAGAAAGACTTGGACTCTTGTCTTGCCTCTGATATTTAGCTGTGTGACCATGGGGAATCATTCAAGTTCTTTGAGTCCTAGGCAATTTTATAAGAGGGAAAGAAGAAAATAGGTATTTACTAAGCACCGCACTGGGCTAAGGGCTTAACACCTATCTCATCTGAGACAACAAAACAGAGAAGTGGATGTTATTATTATCCCCATTTTACACTTGAGGAAATTGAAAAAGACAGAGATTGTGACTCGTAAGTGATTGGCATATCACATAGCTAGTAAGTGTCTGAAGCCAAATTTGAACTCAGGTCTAATTGACTCTGGGTCTAGATCTCCCACCACTGTGCCGTCTAGTTGCATCTAACCTTTACTATTAAGTTAAAGGTTCATTGCTACTGGCCTCAGTGAAGTTACCACTGTTAATGAAATCATAAGCCCTTGACATTTTGAGATAAAGAAGAATTCACTTTAAAGACCATGTTAATGACCTATCACCAGCCAGGCATACACTTTGAATTTGTTTTCCTTTCATGGAAACAGCTTGTACTGAATCATCTCCACTGTCTTACTTAGTCATCACCAACGACCTGTGTTTGGAAGATAGTTAGCTGTTAGGATTTGTGACCAAGGAGTAGTATTGTTTCTTGGCATGAGAAAATGCCCCACACATGCTGTGAAGCACCACAAGGCAAGGGCACTGCCCTAGGCCTGAGAAGGACTAGCTTCTAGTTCTATCTTGGTCCCTTGCTCATTGTCTTATATTAATTTCTAGCCTCTCTTAGATTTCTTTTGCTGGTCTTGAAGGAAATAAAGCGGTTAACTGAAGATAAATGTAGCAGGGTTTAATGATTAACTATCCTCCCCACTCCTTAGTCCATCTGTAGTCCATCTAGATTTTTGCTCTGCAGTGACATGAGATAACCATGGTATAATAAGGAGAAGCCTGAGTGTGTTTGGCACAACACCCTGTGTCGCAACTTTATTTCAATACATTTTTAATTTAATTTTTAAATTTTATTGAATTGAATACTAAGTACTAATAATACTATTGAATTGAAAATACTAAGTTTTGCAACTTAGTAGCTCTGTGATCTGTGGCAGATTATATAGCTTTTCCAAAACTTTTCTCTTCTTCCATATAGTGGGGAGGTGGGGGAAGGGTTAATAATTCCTGTTCAGTCTATCTCACAGTGTGATCATAAGAATCACTTCAAAGCCACTTGGAAAACTAAAAAGCTCCATATAATTGACTACTTCTTCCGCAATTCCATTTTTTCCTAGAAACCTTTCCTCTTGGGCTCCATAAAAAATTTGAACTTTCATTATAGGTTTGTGATATGTTCTATTACAATTATTTGTGTTTGTGTTGGCCCCCTCCTAGAGCCTAAACTCCATAAGAGAAAAGATTGTTCTCTTCTCTCAGCTTTGCATTGCTCCGAGCTCTTCTAGCACAGCAGATACTTAATATTTGTGTTGGAATGATATAGAAGGTATGCCAATCTATAATTATGCATTATATCATAAAATCAAAAATATAATTATTGCAGACAATATAATTATTTCTTAATTAAGACATCATCATTGCAAGCTACATCCCCTGATCCATATTCCATTTCCCCACACAGCATTGACACTTACCATCTGCAGCATGTTTGCGGCAGGGGGTGAGGCTTGTGCTCGCAGGGCATTGTGCTTGTTCACTATTTCATGTTGAGTTTCTTCACGTTCAGTTGATAGAGATTCAAAGGATATACTCTATGGGAAAAAAAATGAGAAGAGAGATCTCACCAAGGTTAATCCTCAGAACTGAATATCCTTTCCAATTCTTTCCAATCTGATTCATTAAAATATTTTAAGAAGTTATTTTATTAAGTTATTATAAAATGTCTCAGAGTAGATTTTTTTTATTCTCTGTCATAGAAAACTTATAAAATAGGGCAATATAATTTAAAACTCCGAGATATCATTAGCTAATGTTATGAGCTCCAAGATAGGCTAAGCAGATGCAAAATAGAATCATAGCATCCTAGATCTAGAAGAAATATCCTTATCTCATGTAAATAACTCCTAAGTCACAGATAGGCTTAGCTGAAATAAATTCAGAAAGATAAATATTTACCATATTATTGACATCTTTTACCACATAGGCTTTTCACTGGAATATTTAAAATAAGTTTCCATCACTTCTATTTAACAGTATGCATGCTTGGTCTGTACTGCAATTTCCTTTCAATCTAGGGTTTTATCAAGTTCAAGGGCTAATATTAAGTAGCAAGTACAAAATACCTACTACGAATTTATTGAAAGTAGTAGCATGGAATAATGGAAGGAGAGCTGCCCTTATAAGACAGGATTATAGGTGTTCAAGCCTTGATTTTGACATTTACTTGCTGTGTGACCTTGGCCAATTCATTTATATTCATTATATTCATTTATGAGACTGAGTTGCAGAGCAGGTGCTCACCTGAATTGGTAGAGGGATTTCCTCACAGGTGTTTCTGTTGATATAGTGGTTTAAAACCATGGACATAAATTCTAAAGAGGGAATATAAGTGACATGTCTTTCTGTCATTCATGGGACATTATCTTAGGATAGAACATGGCTGATTCTATGTACCTGCCTGTTCTAACCTTAAGAATATAAACTCCACTGATGAAATACATGGTCATTTGGCACTTGTGACTACATTTATGTCCCAGGTAAGATATAAGGTGAGCTCCATTTCATAAAAGATCATAAGGTCAGGAAATGTAGAAAATCATAAAAGATCCTAAGGTTAGGAGATGTAGAGAAAAAGTGAGGAGGGAGGGTTCCTGAACATTAGGGAAGATATAGGAGCAATAAAGGACATGTAGGGAGATTGGGTTTTATAGGGGAATTGTTTATTTACAAAGCAACAGTAATGATTCTGGGACTAGGATTGGGACTGTCTTTATTCTCATCCATTTAATAAAACTTTAAATGGCAGAGAAGTATTGATATTCAGAATCAAATACCTCATTTTTAGTGAACTTATTTGTTCAGCTCCCTTGGTCTTATCATTATTCCCAAGGCAATGATAATTTATTATATACAATTAAGTCCCTATTAGCACAAATAATAATCTTGTGAAGTGATTTCATTATTCAACATATTCACCATATTTTCATTGTCTATAACTAATGATCATATTTTATATAACTAAAACTTCAAGTAATACAATATATACAACTATTTCAGGGCATTTGTTACTCACACTAAAAATGACCAGCTGCATCTCAATTGAACTCATTTGTAATCACTGAATATAGAGGACATTGAAAGTAATGCAATATATTGAATACAAAATATCTGAAGTAATTATAGGATGTTAGTGTCCTCATATACTTACTAGCTGTGTGAAACTAGGAAAATAACAACCTCTGTTAGCCTTTATTTCCTGGACATCTATGTAATAGGAGTAATGACTACATCTGTATCCTAGGGTTGTTGTGAAGATAAAATTACATACACACATACACATATAATTTGTTTTTGAGTTATTTGACTATACTTGACCCCATTGGGATTTTCTTGGCAAAGATACTGGAGTGGTTTGCCCTTTCCTTCTCTAGCTTATTTTATAGATGAAGAAACTGAACTAAATGATTTGCCCAGTGTCAAACAGCTAGCATCTGAGGCTGGATTTAAATTCATGAAGATGAATCTTTCTGATTATAAGACAAGTGCTCTATCCATTGTGCCATGTGGCTGCCAGTTATATGTAAAGTGCTTCAAAAACCTTAAAAAGCTTTATAAATGTTAACTATAAGCAATTGCTTCTGGCCCTGGACTAACTTGGTCCATAAGACCCAGAACTGGAAAATGGAGAACTGAGAAAATGGAAGGTGAGAAAAGCATCATGACAAGTGAATGAGTTAGTAATTTATTTAGCATTTACTATATGAAAAGCACTGGCCAAGAGGTGGTGATACAAATATAAATCACCTTTAAGTTTGTAGGTATTTGTCTGGAAGACAAGACCAATACCATTGGCACTAACTCCAATCAATGATCTTCACCTGTAGTCATTCAAACAACAGCTTGGTGAAAAAGAGACATAAGGCATTAGAAAGAGGGGATAGATATAGAAGACAAGTATGAAAGAATTGAGAAAATGTATGGAAAGATAATGAAAGGAATCATTGACATCTAACTTTGTGTCTCTTTATCCATAAAATCATAAGAATCCCTGTTCTATGAATTAATGTCTTGCACCTAAAGTAAGCTTAGATAGGAAAATTTAGGGTATATTACATAGAAATGGTATTTCCTGGAAGGCTCACTTAGCCAGGCATGAGAAAATTCCTAGCATGCTTGAAGGAAGTTATTGAATCAAAGTCATACCTGTGCATCACCACAAGATGGGAGCAGTATGGCAGTTAAGAAGAGTAGCACAGGTAGTAAAATCATTGCTGAAAAATAAAAATAAAAGCATGTAAAATTTTGTCCTTGCCATCATCATTAGCATCATCATCATCATTACCACAGAGTTTAGTGTTTTGTCAGATTGGCAGGAAGTAGTGGAAAGAATGCTTGACCTGACATCATAAATTCAAAATCAGACTCAGGTACTTAGTAGTATCTGAGTACCTAGTGCGACCCTAGGAAGTCTCTTAGCCTCATTCTTAACTATCATCATCATCATCATCACCACCACCACCACCACCACCACCAAATTGATTCTAATGTGGCTATCTCAGTTTCTTTCAACTATAAAATTGAAAATGGGAATAAAAATATTTTCACCTCCCACCTCACATAACTTGCACCAAAACTATGAAGAAAGGGCTTTGTAAGGGAAGTGTTAGAGAAATGTGAGCTATGCTTTCAAGAATGTTATCAGGTTTTTTTTTTTTTTTGAAAACCTAATTACAACATGTACCAACTCATGAGATCAAGTGTTTATTCTGTTGATTACTTGGCATGTCAAGTAGGCCAGTGCTTCCTTTTGTTGATCCTAGACTCACCTGGAGCAAGCTCATGATAGTTCCCTTGAAATCTAATGTTCCAATGTTTGGTGAACTTATTCATCCCCTTCTTTGATCATTTTCTCTTTCTACTTTTGTTATTAGTACTGAATAATTTTAATCTTTTCAGTATATCTTTAAATGACAACATTCTGTCTTATTCTCCCTGCCACAGACACATGGACATACAGAGACAAATAGATAAACACACAACAACAATCATAACACACACACACACACATACACAGAGAGAGAGAGAGAGAGAGAGAGAGAGAGAGAGAGAGAGAGAGAGAAAGCATTCTCCAGGTTTTTCCTATCTCATTTGAGCTATGGTGACCAACCTGGATGATATGCAGTTTTCCAGTTACAAACACACCATGGTCTTATACAAGGGTATGGTAATTTTTAAAATATAATTTCTAATTCTGTAGTACATGGTGTCTGGCATTTGCTGGCACCTAGAATTGCTGTAGCACCTGGGGATTAATTAGAAAGTTGGGCAGTGAATGGGGAAGTTTAAAAGAGTTAGTTCAGTAGAAAGGAAAGTGATCAGGGCTAATTGCATATGGAATCACAGGTCTGGAGAACTAGAAGAGAGAAAAAAAAGAAATCTATATAGGGAAAAGCAAGAAAAAGAGGTTTTGGGGAGGGAACCGGGAAGACATACTTGCTTGCTTGACTAGAACTGAGGGTGATTTTAAAGGAATGAACTTAGCTAGAGTTTGAATTCTTATTCAGGAATCAGGAGAATAGATGACCATGATGTCTCTTCCACATCTGAGATTCTATGATTCTGTGACCAAGAAGTCCTTGATAACCAGAAAGAAGAGTGGATATAGTAGAAAAGAGGGGGCCATTGAATGCTTTGAACAGAAGATTGATATAATGAGCTACTGAAGTAGACAAAAAAAAATGGCCATTTGCTAGGGACTTTATAGGGGTGATTCACTGTCAATATAAAGGTTTGATTAGATGACTTTCAAGGTCTTATCTGAGATTCTTTGAACCATCTACAGCAGTTGGTGTCAAACTCAAATGGAAACAGATTCCTAAAGACCACGTGTTGACTTAAATAAAAACACAAATTAACATTATCTATGTTGTGTTTTTATTTATTTTTGTTAAGCATTTTATTACATTTTATTCTGGTTCTGCCCACACTAGGCAGTTTTGCAGGCTGTTTGTGGCATTTGTGGTGGCCAGGCCAGTGGTTTGATGCCCCTACAGGGTCTCCTATATGCCTTTGTAACTTTAAATTGCTTTTTTTTCCTTTTTAATTCAAGAAATACGCTTTAATAAATACTTACTAAAAACTGTGTGCAGAGGATTTTATTGCCCACTAGGGAGATACAAAGGAGATACAAGATGTATCTTCTTGGAGTCACTTTTCCAGTAGAGACGGTTTATTTACTCCATTTACAATGTCATCTTGGGGAGTCAACTATACTGATATTCTTTCCCACCATCAAGAAAGAGAATGAAGGTGTTAGGGCTGTGTTCCTTTCCTCAAGCTAGATGGAGTGCTGTATAGTGCCACTTCTACTGCACACATAGTGTCCTGTCCTGGTATCCTGTCTTGCAACCTCTATTCCTTAGTTCTCTGACCTGACACCAGTAGATCAGAGCTTTGCAGCCCTGGTGCGACAAGATTGTCTACTCTGGCTCTAGGCTCTGCTGGTGTAACAAGATTTTTTGACCTCATTACTCACCTCTGCTGGTGCAACAAAGTTGTCTACCCTGACACCCCCAGTACCAGCAGATCAGGCATTAGCCATGCTGGTGCTACAGGGTTGTGGGTCCTGCTAGACTTCTACTCCTAAGCCAGTCTGCCTGGTTGTGTGCTGCAGCCAGGGTAATTTCTGCAATCTTGGAGCTGTGATTTCACAGTCTCGGAAAGAGGGAGGGAGCACTATGCTATGGGCTGGGTTACATTGTTAAGTGTGGTTACTCCACTGGTTTTGCTATCTATAATCTTGCTGCTGATAGCATGAGAGATGGGGAGAGGTTGTGCTGAGTGAGTGTCAGTGTCATTTTTTTAAACTTTCTTTTGGATTCTTGATATTCTAGACAAAGGAGAAAACTGAAGTTGTTTTACCTTTTCTATATTGGAAAGATTTAATAGGTTATGGGGATCAGAGAAAATGCCTAGTCCACCTTATTGCTTATATGACCAGGAAGAGCCTTACATTTATTTTATACTCTTATAACGCAGGAGCCCTTTATCTGGGGTCGATATTTTTTAAAAATAATTATTTTAACATCATTAATTTCCTTTTTTGATCCTATCTATTTTATTTCATATATTAAAATAGGATTCTAAACAGTGGTCCACTTCCCCAAATTTCCAAAAGGGCTCATGAAGCAAAAATGTTAGGAGCTCTTATTTTTGTCTACCATAGCAGATTATACATATACATACATACGGATATATACACACACACACATATAAACACACATGTATATACACATATATCAATAAATTCTCCTCCCCCATTTCCTACTGAAACAAAATATTTTATTATATTTATTTAAATAAGATGAAAAGAAAGGAAAGATCCCTTAAAATAGGAGGATTTATTGTCCAAGAAAGGGGAATTTCTTTACAGGAATCCCCACTGCTCCTGTGGGACTTCTGCTGTTTTTTTTAAAAATCTTTTTTTTTTTTGCCATTTCCTGTTTAATACATCATCTTATGTTTGTTGAGACAATGGGATATCATGGAAAGAGCTCTGGTCCTAAACTAGCTATGCCTGAGTTTGAAACCTAATTGTGGCACTTACTAGCTGTTTCTTCAGTTTCTTCAGCTTAAATTCAAATAATACTGCTTATGTAACTAGAGCCCCTAAACCATGTATGGGACTCTCTCCTCATTGGTGGAGATCTATGTCTTGCACTTGTATGAGGTGTGGATGGAGTTAATAAGAGCAGCAGAGAAGAGAATACTGGTCTCTTCAGGCCTGTTGAGTTCATCTGGCCTTATAGTCCTGAGAGAAAAGATACATGGAATCCTAATCTCTCTTTATGTCTGTTAAGGGAGAAAAAGACTCTTAAAGCTGAATCAGATTTCAGAAAGAGACTAGATTTCTCTTTTCTATTCTCACCAACACTGTCCAACCCTCAGGCAGGTGCAGGGCATTAAAAAACCAACATGTAGAGAAGTTGGCAACCTCTATCCTGTCAGCTCCTTCCTAGAATCTTTTTATTTCTTTATGGACCCACAGAAGAGATTGGAATACACAGAACTCTTCTCTAAAGCCTGGAGGCCATAAAAACCCAAAGACCCCTAAGAGACCAGATCTCTCTTCTCCCAGCTCTCACCAACTTAGCTCACCCTTCACACAGGTGTGGACATTATTCTCCACAAATGAGAAGAGATTCTCATAATAATGGGCTTTGGGACTTGGGTTACATCTGTATTATTTGGGAAACAGTCTGGAGTCGCAGAAAGAGTTTTAGACTTGAAATCAGAAGAGATATATTTGTAATACCATTTCTAATACTTATTAAATTGTGTGACTACAGGCAAAAGTCAACTTCTTCAAGGCTCAAATTCATCTACAAAATGGTAATAAAAATACCTATACTGCCTTCTTTGCAGGGTTATTGTGAGAAACATATGAAATAATTTATAAAAACACAGTTGCAAATCATAAAGATCTCTATAAATATCAGAGAAGATAACTAAAGCGCTCTATAAAGTTGAGTTATTATTCCCCACACGTGGTCATGGTACTAAATCCTCATTTTAGGGATGATAAAATTGAAATCAGACAGCTAGGTGGTCCAGCGGATAGAGCACTGGACCTGGAGTCAGGAAAACTCCTCTTCTTGAGTTCAAATCTGGCCTCAAAAATTTACTAGTTGTATGACCCTGTAGAGGTCATTTAACCCTGTTTGCTTCAGTTTCCTCATCTGGAAAATGAGCTAGAGAAGGAAAAGTCTTCACTCCAATTTCTCTACCAAGAAAACCCCAAATGGAGTCATGAAGAGTTGGACACCACTGAAATGGCTGAACAACAACAACAAAATTGAAGTCCCAAGAGATTGGCACACTAGTTATAACTAGTTAACTAGCTAGAATTATGACCAGGAACAAAATTTAAATGTCTCAATAATTAGTCCAGGGTTTTTTGTTTTTTATTTCTTCTCCCCCTACCCCAGTAGTTCAAACTACCATTCCATTTCTCATTCATTGTGAACAAAGTTCTGCTTGAAAATTCATTTTTTTTTCACAGCCTCAAGAGAGGGAGAGGGAACACCCACACACATTAGTTTCTTTTGACTTATGTAATTGTTTATTTTTCTGCTCTGATATAATTCCAATGAAGCCATGCATAGCATTAAACCTAACTGTGCATTTAAAGACCAGTATTAGACGGAAGTAGACAAGCAGCTAATGCTTGTGATATTAACCAGGAAATATCTGCCACCTACAATGTGCTACA